ACCGCAGACCGGCAAAGCGCCGGTAAGGTGAACGTTGAAATAACTTCTTCTGAACGCTTGTAATGAAATGAAGCGTCGCGTGGTATCCCAAGCCCCCATTTCCAAAAGAAGTTCCACATCGTACTGGGCAATGCTCAACCACACCACGCAAACACAAAAAGGAAGAGAATAGGAAAAACTGCGCAAAATCTGGCTGCCCACTATATTCGACTAACCTAAACTTTTATGACGACAGCCACAGACAAAAGCCGCCAATAAGTCAAGAATGCAGTCAATGAAGAGGACCCGCATAGTCGCTCTTACTTGTGAAAGAATGGTATCAATGCTCTGCCCAGCCGAAGGAGAAACGTGGTCGCTAGTGAGGGCTACTATCATGATTACTGATAATGTGCTCTTTTAATATGTGTAAAAGAACCATGAGTGAATTTTCTTGAGCTCTGATAACTCATACAGTGCTACACCGAGCTCTATGCGATTACGGTACGATTTGCTTTCTCTTGTCGAAAATATTAACGTAACCAACGTTACCAACAACGCAACGCAAAAAGGAACAATATTTATTGTTACTCGGACTGTGCACTGGAACAGTATCAGATTGATGTGCTTCTCTGAATGGACCTCAATTGTAGACGTGCATGACGGCGATGATGATCACATTGGTAGACGACATTCGTGGAATGACGGGCGGCTTGGCGGAGCGATGGACGACGACGAGCTCTTTGCAATCTTCAGTACGGCAGGCATATTGTTTCAACGGCGACGGCAATGGTGACGAGATCTCGATGGATCATTTGTAAATCAAATCGATTAAGCTGCATTTGATAATCATCCATTATCTCCATTCCATGCGCTGCCATCACCGTCAATATCGCGTCCACGACTATCGATGAACGGACACTGTTGAAAACAACACATACAATTAAAGACATAAAATTATGAAATGTAAATAAATGGAGATGCTAAAAGGTAAATCAACGACGACTTCTTCCCGAAACCGAATAACACAATCTACGGAACAAAAAAGAAGAAACGGTTACGCCCAAACTAAGATACTCGGAGTCATCGGCGGATACACGACGACGACACAATATCCATCACACGGTGTTAGCCAGAATTAACGACGTGATTTCTCTTTCTCTCGCTCTTTTTCACGCTCCTGTTCCTTTTGCTCACGCTTTCTCTTCTCCGCCAGTAACTTTTCTTGTCGTTCTTGGGCCTGAAAACTTATTACAGTGAAAAATTGAGAAGTAAGAAGAAATGGGAGGAGTAAATCTATTAAACAGCATTATCGAAGTCGCTACTAAGAAGGGAGGTAGTTCAGGGTGTGCCAAGCTTTTTCAAAACGGTTTCTTGCATGACATAGGGGCACATGCGGGAACCACAGAACCATGGTTAATTTTTCCTGAACGGCCCTCTGAATACCAGAAAAGGGGGTCCTAGTTCGATTCCTCGTGTAAATGCGCACGGACACTTTCAGAATTCTCTCGATTGTTCCTGAATTGAGGTTGTTTGTCCAAGGAGCCGTAGTTGAAGCGCGCGCAACAACTAGACCCTTT